TTAGGGTTTAGGGCTTAGGGTTTAGGGCTTAGGGGCGGAAAGCTTCTTGTCCAGGTCTTGCAGCAGCTCTGCCCGCAGAAGGTCGCGGGCTCCATGGACCTCTTCAAGGAGGTGGGGCTAAGGAGTTGAGGGGTTAAACCCTAAACCCTAAACCCTAAACCCTAAACCCTAAACCCTAAACCTTAAGCCCTAAACCCTAAACCCTAAACCCCACATCTTGTGCACCTCCCAGGTTCCCCCCCATGCCCATACCTACCCGCATGAGCCCAAGGCCAAGCATAGTGGAAGAGCGCTTAGGGTTCAGGGTTCAGGGTTCAGGGTTTAGGGTTTAGGGTTTAGGGTTTAGGGTTTAGGGTTTAGGGTTTAGGGTTTAGGGTTTGAACCTGTAGAAGTAGAAGCATCTAAAAGCCCAACAAGCAGAAACCCACGCTGTGCCCAACGGCCGATATGAGATCACCACTGACTAAAAGGAACGCAAAAACTTGAAGCACCCTGAACCCTGAGCCCTGAGCCCTAAGCCCTAAGCCCTAAGCCCCAAGCCCCAAGCCCTAAGCCCTAAGCCCTAAGCCCTAAGCCCTAAGCCCTAAGCCCTAAGCCCTAAGCCCTAAGCCCTAAGCCCTAAACTGACTCCGGGGGGGGGCGGGGGGAATGTTGGGGGTTCAGGGCTCTGACATGCGCTGGGCAGGCTCTGATGAAGGACAAGTCCGACCAGATGCCTGGCTATCTATTTAGGGTTTATAGGGTTTAGGGTTTAGGGTTCAGGGTTTGTACAGGGGTTTAGGGGTTTACGGGCTTAGGGTTTAGGAGTTTAGTGGTTTTAGGGTTGAGGGGTGTAGGGGTCTTAGGGTTCTGGGTGCGGTTCTAGATATTCTTTGTTGAGTGCTTCTGAGGGGTTTATAGTTTATAGGGGCTTCTTTATCTACTAATAGCTTTAGAAGCCCCAATGACTCTGTCCTGCTAAACCCCCTACAACCCCTATGATGTCTATGGCAGTATAGTCCCTACAAGCCCTGTAATATAGTCCCTGTATTCCCGATAATCCCTAAAGTCCCTAAACCCTCATCCCAAAACCCTAAACCCAATACTGAAAAATCCAAGTCCCCTCACCCTCAACCCTACAAGCCTGAATCCCTAAACCCTATAAACCCCAATGCCTAAACCCGCTTGTAAACCCTCTGAACCCTAAACCCTGAACCCTATAGACCCTAATCCCTAAACCCTATACCATCTAAACTCACCCATTAACCAAGTCAGCAGCCGATAATTATGCATTTCTCACAGAAGAGTTCAAGGTCAGAGTTATTTGGGGTCTAGCACGGGGCGCCAAGTGTGCCTAAGCTGCCCTAAGCTGGGAGCACGGGGTCAACAAGGGCTGGTCGGGTTTGTGGGGGATTTAGGGTTTGGGCGAAGAGGTACAGGGAGGCCGCCAAAAATGTGGCGGCCAAGCGGGCTTCGGGTTTGTGAGGGTTTGTTGGGTACTGGGGTTCTACGCCCTGAGGCTTTCTCGAGGGGGCTTTCCTTGTTTAGGGTTTGGGGTGTAGGGTTTGGGGTTTAGGGTTTAGGGTTTAGGGTTTAGGGCTTCATGACCCAGTTGCGGTATTGGAGTATCGGCACGCGTGCTAAGCTTGAATTTATAGTCGCTGGGCGCCTCGAGGTTGGTGGTGGGGTTGCATTTTGAGCTGCGCTGCGGTTAAGCCCTAAGCCCTATAAAGCCCTAAACCCTACAAAGCCCTAAGCCCTGTAAACCCTAAGCCCTGAACCCTCTAAGCCCTTCTCGAATCCCACAAACCCTAACCCCTACGAACCCTAAACCTAACAAACCCTAAACCCCACAAACCCTAACCCCTACAAACCCTAAACCTAACAAAACCCTAAGCCCTAAACCCTGAACCCTATAGACCCCCCTAAACCCTCTAAACTCCATAAGCCCTAAACCCTATCCCTAAACCCTTAAACCCTAAACCCTAAACCCTAAACCCTAAACCCCAAACCCTAAACCCTAAACCCTTAACCCTAAACCCTAAACCCTAAACCCTAAACCCTAAACCCTGTCTGTGTCGCCATCCGGTCGTCGGAGCTGAGGATGACTGGCGAGCGGGCCAAGCAGCTCCTGGATGCCAGCATCGAGGCTCCCCCTTTAGCATTTTAAAGGGTTTAGGGTTTAGGGTTTAGGGTTTAGGGTCTAGGGTTTAGGGTTTAGGGCTTAGGGTTTATAAGGTTTAGGGCTTAGGGTTTAGGCGTTGGCGGGCAGCTCTTGCTCCCCAGGTGTTGTTTTGTTTGTTCGCGCCGCCCTCAGAAGCAGGGGTGAGTATGAACAGGGCTCACGCCTTGGACAGCACCATGCCAGATTCTGTACCGGAGCTACCGGTATCTCGTGCCAAACAAGATGCGGGACAATTTCAACGAGGCGACGGTGGCGGACTTCAACCAGAAGCTCTGCTCAGAGACGCACAGGCCCAAGTGGCGCTTTCAGTTTGAAGCTCCTAGCCTTCGTGGCCAAATTGGGATCTTCAGGGTTTAGGGTTTAGGGGGCTCCCCCACCCCCCCCCCCCCCCCCCCCCCCCCCAAGTTTAGCATTAGCGGGTTTTCGGGTGTTAGAGGTTTAGAGGTTCAGGGTCTAGGGTTTTAGTGCTTTTAGGGGTTTTGGGGTTGAAGGGTTCAGGGGTTTAGGGGAAAGGGGTTCTGGGGTTTAGGGGATTCGGGTTTAGGGTTCACGGGTTTGGGTTTTAATTAGGGGCTTTTGGTTCAGGATTTTAAGGGTTTTTGGGTTTAGGGTTTTTGGGTTTAGGGTTTTAGGGTTTAGGGGTTTAGGGTGTCGGGGTTTAGGGTTTAGGGTTTAGAGGTTCAAGGTTTAGGGTTTAGGGTTCAGGGTTTAGGTTTGGGGGTTGTAGGGGTTTGGGTTTAAGGGTCGTGGTTTCCAGGACTTGCGCAGCATTTAGGAATTTTGAGGGTTTGCAGTAGGGTTCGTTGTTTAGGGTTGCGGGTATGACAGTCAGCCCGAAACCCTAGAACATACAGCCTTTGTTTGTTCTGGTACCCTCATGATCAGGCAGTAAGGAAGATACGATCCCCCCTCTCTCTACAAGGCTTTCCTTTTTTTGGGGGGAGGGGGGGGGGGGGGGGGGGGGGATGATGGTAGGCAGTTTAGGGTTTAGGGTTCAGGGTTTAGGGGTTTGATCGCTCAGGGTTGGCTATGGTTTTTTCGCGGTGTTCAGGGTTGGCAGGCTAATGGCTCAGACCCGTAAAGCTACCCGAAGTGAGCACCCACACCCTACAGTCCCTAAAGTCCCTAAGTCCCTAAAGTCCCTAAAGTCCCTAAAGTCCCTAAAGTCCCTAAAGTCCCTAAAGTCCCTAAAGTCCCTAAATCCTAAACGTGGGCCACCACTGGCAAGGTCCTTTCGCTCTTCAGTAAATGCACTTGTGTAGTGTAGAGCGGGCGAGGGAGAGTGAGCGTCAGAGACAGGACCGCAATCTACAAACGCTGAAAGGATTCGCTACGACCTCAAGTTGGGACGTTCCCCCCCTGAATCCCCTCCCCATAATACTAAATCCCTCCCCCCCCCCCCCGCAATTCTAGATTCGCCTCGGCGGAAGTATTTAAAATTAGGGGAAACCCTACCTAAAACCTAAAACCCTAAAACCCCTAAAACCCTAAAACCCTAAAACCCTCACCCTCAACCCTCAAACCCTCAAACCCTCAAACCCTCAAACCCTCAAACCCTCAAACCCTCACACCCTCAAACCCTCAAACCCTCAAACCCTCAAACCCTCAAACCCTCAAACCCTCAAACCCTCAAACCCTCAAACCCTCAAACCCTCAAACCCGCAAACCCTCAAACCCTCAAACCCTCAAACCCTCAAACCCTCAAACCCTCAAACCCTCAAACCCTCAAACCCTAAAACCCTAAAACCCTAAAACCCTAGAACCCTAAAACCCTAGAACCCTAGAACCCTAAAACCCTAAAACCCTAAAACCCTAAACCCCTAAACCCTAAAACCCCCTAATTCTCAAGCAGGGGGAGGGCCCGGAAAAAATACTATTTAAAATTAGGGTGGGGTTTAGTAATAGGGGGAAGCGATTGTAACACCCCTCATTATAATCCCGATTAAGGACTCTTAGTATAAGGGGACCATCCCAAACTTCCGCCCTTGCTTGGGACAGGCAGCCCTAAACCCTAAACCCTAAACTGGCCCTAGACCCTAAACCCTCAACCCTCAACCCTAAACCCTAAACCCTGAACCCTGCTTGTGACAGGTAGTGATCCATCTCCTGTCAGAGTTCTCGAAGACCGACTCGGCGCATGGGACGGGGGGATGAGGTTAGAGTAGAGGCTACCCTACCCTGAAACCCCGAAGCCCTAGATCCCTTAGAGTAGAGGCTACCCTAAAGCCTAACTACCTTAAACCCCTAAGCCCTAGATAACCCTAAAGCCTGAATACCCTAAACCCTAAATCCCTAAGCCTAAACCTCTGAGCCCGGGCGCGTTGCCAGTTTAGTGCGGTTTGCGAGGGCTTTGGGTGCGTCGGGTACTACGGTCTGGGTAGGGTGGCCTGTCAACTCAGAATCACAAGAATTCAGCCCTAGCCCAAGACCGTCTAGGCCCAAACACCTTCATGCCGCCCTTGCTCCTTTCAAAAGGCCAAGGTCCTCATCAACCGCCCCTCAACCTCAACCTATTGTTATCCCAAACCCTCCCTAAAGCCTGAACCGTAAAACCTAAACCCTAAACCCTAAACTGTAACCCTCCCTAAACCCCTGGACCTCTATTCTGACTCCTTCAGCCTCTGACCTCGACCCCCTAAATGTCAGGCTCCCAAGCGAAACTACAGGAGCTTTGGCTGGGCTTACGGTTTAGGGTTTAGGGTTTAGGATTTAGGGTTTAGGGTTTAGGGTTTAGGGTTTACGGTTTCGGGTTCAGGGTTTAGGGTCTAGGGTTTAGGGTTTAGCTAGTTTGAGGCCCTCGATGCATTAGGCTCGTCCTGTGCAGGTTCTCGTTGCGATGCAGTACGAATATGGCACGAGCCTGTTCCCGACGCGGTCGGAGGATCAGGAGATCTTCTGGAAGGCCTTCTTGGGAGCTCAGGGTAAACCCTAAACCCCAAACCCCAACCGCTAAACCCTAAACCCTAAAACCCTAAACCCTAAACCCTAAACCCCAAGCCAAAAGAGGCCCTCTTGGGGAGGTTGCGGGCCATAAGCCTCCGACCTCTGAGCCCCAAACCTTCGACATCAGAGCCCTAAAGCGCCCTAAGACGTACATGAGGCAGGGTGTAGGGTTTAGGGTTTAGGGCTTAGGGTTTAGGGCTTAGGGTTTGGGTTTTTTTGGTGAGTGTATAGGGTTCCTTAGAATATTGGTGAGTGTATATCATGGGTGTCCTTTTGGTGATACTACATATATACACCCGGGTTTTGATTTGACTTGGGGATTCGAGGTGTTGCCCGTGCCATAGAAGAAGTAGGGAACGAGATACACCTTGCGGCATGTTTGTCAGGCTAAAACCCTCGACCAGCCTGCGACTGTTCTGAAATCTTTTGGGGATGTATCCCCAGGCTCGAAACATGTGCTGCGCCTTATCGGTCCTTCCCAATGTCAAAAGGGTGAAGGCTTTAAGGATTATGTGTGGGAAGAGTGGTAGCGGATAAGATATGGCTAATTCCGAATGTGCCGTCGGGGAAACATCCGTATATACCCCCAGACATAAACCCCACACCCTAAGAGTTCGCTCAATAGTTCAGGTTTACGATGTAGGGTTTGCAGCTTCCTGCGCAGACGGCGACCACTTTCTACAACAAGTTCATCAAGACTCAGGGCAAGGACACGAAAGCTAGGGCCAGGATCTCGGACTACCCTAAAACCCTAAACCCTATAACTCCTAAACACAATCTTCGGCAAAAGCAACCCCTGCACCCGAAAGCTCTCAACCCAAAGCCCGAAACACAGCCCTTTGTCAAGTCAGCTTCGGGTTTAACTAGGGTTTAGGGTTTAGGGTTTCAGGGTTTTAGGGTTGAAGACAAGTCTACGCAACCCTCTCCCTCCCAAAAAAGGTCAAACAAACCAGGGAGCTGTAGCTCAGATTTGTTCAGCCTGTGCTTGGGATCGATCAAGGAACGCGTTCGGGCAATAGCTTGGACGTCAAAAAGAAGGGGTACCAGTGGGGAGCCCTTACCACCTGAAATACTAGGCCCCATATATATAATATAGATATATACATATATATATATATGTATATATATATATATGTATATGAGTTTGGATTTCTTTGGACCTGAGTCTAAACCCTCAACCCAATACTATAGCTGACTGGCACGAAGTACAGAATACAGAGAGCCGAACCCCTTCCTTGTGCCCAAGAACCCAAAACCCTAAACTCTAAACCCGAAATCTTAAACCCTACACGAAGACCCTGATGACGGTTCAAGTCTTAAGCCCGGGACCCCGAACCGTAAACCCAGGGATTGTAGGTCAGAGGACATGTATCCATCTGGAGCTGGGAGCAACCAAGGTTTAGGATTTACCCTAAACCCTAAACCCCGAATTTTCGAACGGCACGCCTGCTTTTCTTGCTGCGAGCCCCAGCATAGTTGAGGGTTTAGGGTTTGGGGTTGCAACTGAGCACCGAAGCCCTGCATAATCCCCGCCTGTAGATCCTCAAGCGTTTGAGACCCCCTAGAATCCTTGACTAGGACACCTGGTAGTACGTGGCATTGTTCCCTTGTTTGTAGGGTCAGGGCCCTTTGCGAAGCCGATTGTATACCCTTTCATTTTGCTCCTGGCCACCGGGGAACCTAGTTGAACCTATTTGAGCTTGGTAACCCAGTGGTGTTCGCCTTTGGAACCTCAAGTTCCCACATAAAGGTAACCAACCCCAAAACAGGGTTTAGGGTTTCTCCAGGATTTTGTGTTCAAGGTTTAGGGTTCAGGGTTCAGGGTTTAGGGTTTATAGGGTTTATAGGGTTTATAGGGTTTATAGGGTTTATAGGGTTTATAGGGTTTATAGGGTTTATAGGGTTTATAGGGTTTATAGGGTTTATAGGGTTTATAGGGTTTATAGGGTTTATAGGGTTTATAGGGTTTATAGGGTTTATAGGGTTTATAGGGTTTAGGGCTATTATACTGTGGTTACTGGGCTGCTCAGCGACAAGCGCAGGTCATGATGCTGATCTGCCGCGAGAGCTGGAAGGACAACCCAGCGGCTGCTAGCCGAGTGCAGGGTTTCGGAGCTGGAGCTGAGCCCCAAAGCCCAAAAACCCTAAAACCCTAAAGCCCTAAAACCCTAAAACCCTAAAACCCTAAAACCCTAAAGCCCTAAAACCCTAAAACCCTAATCCCTAAATCCTAAACCCAAACCCCCCCCCCCCCCCCGGCGAGTGGTCCCCTTTTCCCTTTCTCTGGGTTCAGGGTTCCCTTGTAAAGTAACCAACCCCAAAGCAGGGTGCCCTTATTCCAATCTGCTTGCTGGGCTACCAAGACACCCTAAGCCCTCAACCCCAAGCGTTGATTCCGGTTGTCTGGGGGCGTCTTCTGTTTAGGGTCCGGGGGTTTATGGCTTAGGGCTGACGATTTACGGTTGGGTTTTGCACTAGTCCGAGAAGCAGAGGTAGGCCTAAGCCCTAAATTCTAAACTCTAAAGCCCCCTTCCAATATTTGACATTTGCTCTTATTGGGTTGAAGAGGATATTTTCCCTACTGTCAATCCTGAGACAGCCCTGGGCCCAAAAAAACCACTCGGATTGCAGATGTTTTTGAAGCCCTGAATCCCACGGTTTTTGAAGGGTTTAGGGTTGAGGGTTTGGTGTTTAGGGTTAAAGGTTTAGGGTTAAAGGTGAAGGGTTAGGTTTGGGGCTTCGAAAGGCATCGGCATGCCTTGTGAACATGGGAGGCTGGAGGTTCACGGGTGGTTAGAAGTCGGGTTCAGAAAGCTAGCCGTTTTTTTTTAATAACCTGAATTGAGGCTCTTATAACCCTACTTTCAACTACCCATGAACCTTCAAGAAAAGCCTCAAGAGCAAAAACTGCACCCATGGAGTATCAAAGCTTCTTATGGCAGCTTCAGCATCGACCCGTCAACGAGTTGAGGTGGCTTGTGCCATACGCGTTAGATCCTGAACCCTGTAGGGTGTAGGGTCATACCCTGTGATGTTCCCCCTTATACCAAAAGTCCTCAATAAGGATCAGAATGGGGGGTACTATGTCCCTATTTAGGACTGTTAGTATACCGGGGAACATCCCAAGTTATGCCCTCGACCCAGCCCGAAGTCCCTCAACCCTAAACCCCTAAAACCTAAACCCTAAACCCTAAACCCTAAACCCTAAACCCTAAACCCTAAACCCTAAACCCTAAACCCTAAACCCTAAACCCTAAACCCTAAACCCTAAACCCTAAACCCAAACCCCAAACCCCAAACCCCAAACCCCAAACCCCAAACCCTAAACCCAACCCGAAGTTTTTGTCAAGGTCCAAGCAGCTGTTCAGCAAAACTCGTTGATGGACATGAAGGGCTTGGTCACGCAGGTGGGGGTTGAGGGTTTAGGGTTTAGGGTTTAGGGTTGAGGGTTGAGGGTTGAGGGTTGAGGGTTGAGGGTGGAGGGTTGGGGTCTCAAAAGGAAGGTGCTTTGAAGTCCTTAGTATAGGGGCCTCAAAAATTAGAATAGGGCTTTGGGGGTTTGTTTTGGTATAATTATGAACGGGCCATAAGGGAATACTAACAGTATTTATTCCGACGCCTAAATTAGGACGAAACCGTAAACCCTGATCGCTTAACCCATCCCCTGAACCACAGCCCAAAGCACACTACGACCCGTTTTGCGGAATCTTTCCAAGGGCAGTCATCAAGGGAGTGGCCCCAAGAAAGCTAAAGGAGGTACCCTAAGCACTAAACCGCACCCTAAATCGGCTTTACGAACTTCTGTCAATGGTTTGCAGCTCGTTGGTTTCCAGATTCTCGGTTTTGTTGGGTTGAATCTGCAGATTACAGGTTGAGGGTCTTTTGGGGTTCAGTTTTTTTATTGCGGTGTGCGGCAGCTGCTCAACGTCAGGATGCCATGAGTTTCGGGGCAGGGGGAGCGGTGTCGCTGACAGGCGAACATTGCCGAGTACATGAGCAGTCCGCCTCTCAGTGAGGAGGGTTCCAAAGCTCGAAGCCCTAAACTCCCTAAACCCTAAACCCCACACCCTAAACCCTAAACCCTACACCATTAATGGCCCTAAATCCTACCCAGCCAGGGTCTCAAAAAGCAAGACAACGAATCCCCGGGCCCAGAGCCTCTGCGGCCGCAAGCAAGACCCAAAAGGACCAGGGTTTACTACGTTCATGTGGCCTGTCCTACTGGGGGTTGGGGTTTAGGGTTTAGGGTTTAGGGTTTAGGGTTTAGGGTTCAGGGTTCAGGGTTCAGGGTTTAGGGTTTAGGGGTTAGGGTTAGGGTGTCGGGTGCAGGGTTTAGGTTCCATAGCTCCCATACAAGGCCTAAGATGCCGACGAAGAGTTCCTTCTGTAATGGTTCCTGGCCTTCTTACTTTTGGCAGTCAGGATCATGGCTTGTCTCCTCCATCACCGACCCCCCCCCCCCCCCCCAAAGAAAAATCCCCATCAGGTGTGGGGTGGTGGGGCGAAGTAGTAGGGGATCCAATGTCAAACGTACTTTGGCGGTTGATCAAACCCTAAACCCTAAACCCTAAACCCTAAACCCTAAACCCTAAACCCTAAACCCTAAACTCTAAACCCTAAACCCAAGTAGAGGCATGATTTGGGCACCAGGCTACTTGAACCTCCCGGATGCCGACTCGAATCTTATCCCGACGCCCCTGAGAACCTTCGTCTCCCAGGTGCTCTGAGGTTTGAAGTGCCAAGTTGGAGGGTTTAGGGTTTAGGGTTTAGGGTTTAGGGTTTAGGGTTTAGGGTTTAGGGTTTAGGGTTTAGGGTTTAGGGTTTAGGGTTTAGGGTTTAGGGTTTAGGGTTTAGGGTTAGGGGTTTGTTTGGTTGAGGGCCCAGGGTTCATCATTTGGCGTGGTTGGCTTGCTTGGGTCTTCGGACCAGTATCACGTTATTTTGATTTATTCCCGGTGTCGGTTGTGTCGTGGGTTTAGGGATCAGGGCTTGTCTCTCCCCAAACCCTAAACCCTAAACCCTAAACCCTAAACCCTAAACCCTAAACCCTAGACCCTAGACCCTAAACCCTAAACCCTAAACCCTATACCCAAAACGAAGCACTTCAACTTTGGGAGTTTCAGGGTTGCCGGTCAAGCCCTAGACTCCCCAAACCCGACTTCTTGCTTAAGAACCCCCCCCGACCCCCCCCCCCCCCCCCAAAAAAAAAAAAAAAAAAAACAGAAGATACTGATCCCTATGTTGCCCTTATAAGCAAGATTGTTTCTGGTGTTTTTTTTTTTTTTTTTTTTTTTTTTTTTTGGGGGGGGGGGGGCTTCTTTCGCCTTTTGCTAGCACATGCTTGCTGCGGTATTAAAGCGAACCCTCGACGCCCCTATAAACCCCAAACGTATCCAGAGCAGACAGTGCGTTTAGGGTTTAGGGTTTGGGGTCTTCGGGCTTCGGGCTTTTGGCAGTACAGTTTCGAGGGATGAGGCCTTTGAGGTTTTGGACCAAGGCAACAGAGGTTTGCCCCTGTTCCTTTCCGGAGCCCCAACCTAACCTCGAACTCAGAAGGAGGAAGCCCAAACCCCAAACCCTATCCAAAGAAAAACCCCAAACCCCCCCAAACCTCAGAGCTTTCGGCTTCATGGCTTAGGGCACCAGACGCCATAGACCCCATTGCCACCACCCCAGTGCTCTCTCGAGATTTGTGCGGGTTCAGAGGGTTAAGGGCTTAGGGTTTTAGGGGTCAGCATTGAGTTATACCCCCCGGCAAGAGATGCAAGGTTGTTTCTTCCGTCGTTCCTTGTGCAGGCTGCCTTGAGGGCCCGAAGCCGAAGCCCCTAAATCCTAAACCTCAAGTTGTTCGAAGCGACCAGACCCTAAACCCTAAACCCTAACCCCTAACCCCTAAACCCTAAACCCTAAACCCTAAACCCTAAACCCTAAACCCTAAACCCTAAACCCTAAACCTCAAGTTGCCCGAAGTGAGCAGGTGACCTTGGGCAATCCTCTGTACATCCGCGAGACGATTGACCAGCTTCGCGAGCATCACATCCAGGCAGCCAAGTGAAGCTCCACAACCGGGGGTTTAGGGTTTAGGGTTTAGGGTTTAGGGTTCAGGGTTTAGGGTTTAGGGTTTAGGGTGTAGGGTTTGGAACTTATTGGATGTACTTGTCTATAGGCACAGCAGCCTGATGAAAGGCCTTGTGGAAGGAAGCCCACCCCTGGAAATCTCCGCCCCTAAGGCGCAAGCAAGCTACCGATGCATTCCCACAGACTCATCTACGAGTTGCGGTTAGCTGTCAAGAAAAAACAAAAATCAACATTGGGCCAAGTATCTTCAACCCTACAAACCCTCAACCCTAAGCCCTATACCAGCCCAAACTCGATTCTAAGCCCGAAGCCGACAATGGATTGAGCCAACAGCCATAAACCGAGGCCCAAAACCCCCAAACCCTGATCCCTAAGCCCCCAACCCTAAACCCTAAACCCTAAACCCTAAACCCTAAACCCTAAACCCTAAACCCTAAGCCCTCTTCAAGCTGACAGGGTGTCCTTTCTTTCCATCTCGACTACTCAGCCCGGGAACGTTTCAAGGTTTCGGGTTTGGGGTTTAGGGTTTAGGGTTGAGGGTTTAGGGTTTGGGGTTTGGGGTTTAGGGTTCGGGGTTCAGGGCCTGGGGTTTAGAATTGTTTCGGGCCCCAAAGCTCAGGGGACACGAAGCTGCACCACCAGCACGACCGTCTCTCTTCAGGTCAACGAGGGCGCGGGGGGACAGGTCAAGAACGTGGAGTGCAAGGCCGGGCAAGTTCAATTTCAGGTTTGGACTTTTTCAGTTTGTTGGGTTATTGTTGCTTCTAGGTTTTTTTTAGGGAGGCGTGGGGTTTTACAGGCTTTATAGGGCTTATGGTCTGCGCATGAACCCCGAACAACGCGAAAGTCCCCACACCACCGTGGACTAAAGCCCCCCACCAATTCAGGGTTTAGGGTTTAGGGTTTAGGGTTTAGGGTCCACCAAGGTCAGCATGAAAACCACTCTCCAAATAGATCCTTTAAAGTGTGGCCTTGATGCCAAGCAAACTAAAAACCCTGCCATAAGTCCTAGACCTCCCTCCCTCGGAATCACTCGGTCTTGCGTGCACTCTTCGAGCGCATTGGGCCGTATAAGAATACGGGCTCAAGCAACTTAATATGAAGATATCAAAAAGTCGGAAAGCGAGTGAGAGAATAAAATGAAGACAATGAAGCGAGAAATCGCAAATAAAGCATGGTTAAGGTTTTATACGGGTTGGTTTGCTTCATTCTGAAGATCCTCGTTCTCGTCTTCACCTCACATCCACGTAGTATATAATTCCTTTACCAGTGCAAGTTCTTCTTGCTCGTTCTCGATTATTACTCAGCGGTCAAACAAAAACTAGGTCTAAGAACACATGACAACCAATTTAGTATTTGTGCCAGGAATAAATGCATTGGACGAAATCAAACCTTGATGTGCTATGGGCCGTATGCGTAGCCGCTCTTTCGAAGCACCGCGTAGCTGGCACTGCGTAGCTGGCATTCTTTTGATGAAGCTTCAAATGTGGCTTCAAATGGCACCCCAGCATGTAGGCTTCGTGCAGGGTTGTGTTTAAGGTGTATAGGTTTTAGGCTCAGGCTTTGGGGGTACAGCAGATAACCTCACGGGAAGGGAGAGTATGTAGATGGAGATCTTGTGCCCAGGACATCGACAAGGTCAACGTGTCACAGCACCTTGACATCATGAGTGACCCGAAACCACCACCACCCTGAAACCGTAGGACACTACTCCCAATCTTACAAAGCCAAAAACCTTTCCCCTAACCCCCGAAACAAAAACTCTAGACTCCTAGACTCTAGACGCAAAGCCCCGAACCCAAACCAACACCCCAGACCCCTATGACCATGGGGTCGTAGGGTCACCTTTGGTAATTCCCAAGATTCTAAGATCTAAAGTCGCAGGGAAATAGGGTTTAGGGTTTAGGGTATGTGAGGGCTACCACCTGTTGGGGGTATAGGTTGAGCGACCACCCTCCCGCCCCCTCGCCCCGGCCGCGCCCCCCAACCCCAATCAGAAGAACAACAAAAACCCTCACTCTGTCTGGATATATATATATATATATACATGTATATCTATATATATACACAGCCAATAGCCTAAGATCCGGTACTCTGAGTCCTCTGAACTCCTAAACTCCTGCCTATAGACTCTAAGCCACCAAACTCCAACATATTCTTTCAGACTCTTCACCCCTAAACATCCTAGGCTCTACCCTATACCCTAAATCCTAAACCCTAAACCCCGTTCTCCCCCCCAAAAATAAGGCTATATTTTGATATGATAATCATAATAGGAATAATAATTCTAATCATAATAATGAGAATAAGAAGAAGAAGAACAAAGTAATACTAATAGCAATAACAAAAACCATAATAATAATAATAATAAGCATAATAATAGAATAATAGTAATAGTAGTACCAGAAAGCGTCACAAAGTCGACCAAAGGTGGGGCCACACCGCAATGATCGGCAACACGGTCTGCGCACTGGAAGCCCTGGATCCTTTAGAGGCAGATTTGAGGGCTTCAGGGTGTTTAGGGTCTAGGGTTTAGTTTTAGGGTTTAGGGGAGCAGCACCATCGGTGCTGCTTGTGCAGTGGCCCCTTGGGCGCCTGGACAGTGGAAAGTTTGGATTAAGATCCTTACTGCTTAACCCCAAACCCTAACCCTAAACCCTAAACCCTGAACCCTAGACTGCAGGGTTCGAAGTGTCAGGTGCAGACTTCAGCCTTTTGTGGGTGACTCTTTTCTGGTGGGTGTGGCTTTGGGTCTTTCGTAGCCTAATCCTTAAACTCAAAACCCTAAATCCTGGCAGTTTCTAGGGCTAAGGATTCGGCCAAGTTTAGGGCCGAAAAGATGGGTTTGGGCTTGAACGAACGGCCTTCGTAGTTGCTCTTCAGGAACTTAAACCACACGTCACCATGAGATTGCTAGATACTACGCTAGGACCCATAGTAGGCCCTTACTCCCTGCTTGGGGGCTTAGGTTCCCTGATAGACCCCTTCAAACCAAGAAGGCACCCCCTGGCTTACTCTTTCTTGGGCCTCATAAATTCGTAGGGTAGTTACATGGTCCCATGGGCCCTCAGAAGGGGTCCTCCTACATGCCCCTTACATAAATACCCTGTACCCTAAACCCTAAACCCTAAACCCTAAACCCTAAACCCTAAACCCTAAACCCTAAACCCTAAACCCTGTACAAGTTAAGGGCCCATACATCAGAACCCTGGATGGCAGGGACCATGAAACTACCCTTAGACCCTACCAAACCCTATAAACCTAGTAAGCCCAAATCCCCAAACCCTGAACCCTAAACCCTAAGCCCTAAACCACACCCTTAAAAGTAAAGGTTTAGGGCTTAGGCCTGAGGATTTGCTACCTAAGCCCTAAACCCTGATCCAAGTTTAAGTTTCTTAGCAGAAGCAACCCTTGCGGTTTAGGGTTAGGGCTTAGGGCTTAGGGCTTAGGATTTAGGGTTTAGGGTTCAGGATTTAGGGTTTAGGGTTCAGGGTTTAGGGAACAGCAACCCAGTCTCAGGGTCCAAGATAACATACACTATAACTATAAAGGGACCATATATGGGAATACTATCAGTAATTCTTCCGACTCCTATATTACCCGAGGTTAGTTACATGGCCATTCGTATGGCCCCATAGCTTCTTTAAAGGGTTCTGAAGTATGGGCCCTTGGGTTTTGTAGGGTATATAAGGGCTCCCCTTTTAAGGGCCCATAATCAGGGACCCTGTAACCCTAAACCCTAATCCCAAAGTGGATTAAGGGCCCATAGTCAGGGACCCTTGCCGCTGTAGAGCGCAGCTTTGACATCCGCATTCAGCTCCTTTCAGCTTTGCCTTGAGAGCCTTGCGCGCTTGTTGCCCTCCCAAGGAGGGCATTTCCTTCCTCAATGGGAAGCGGTGCCACGAAGGGCCAGTCTGAGACAGACGGGGACTTAGACTTTGAGAAAGAGTTGGCTGCCGCTGGTGTGCGCCGAGTCGACAAAATACCAGACGAGGATGATGATTTTTTACGATGGATCATAACAGATGAGCACAGGGAGGCAATCCTCAAGGTGGACCGCTCATTCAAAATCCTGTTCGAGGGGTCTCCTGAGGAGGCTTTCATCAAGCATGCCAAAGTGGTTGTCAGTTTCCCAGGTGTTCATGGCACCGGATGGAACATGTTGATGGAGCGTGCCAAGCTGAAGAACAGCTTGGCGACAACTTGTGTTTTCCTACCTGATAAAGATGCCCCTGGCTTTGGCGATCACGTGCTGGATCCCAAGAGGGATGCTCGTGGACATGCTGGTGGAGTGCCCAAGGAGGCTTGTCACTGCTACCACCTGTACGGCAAGGCAGAGCCCTGGGGTTGCAAGTGGTACGACATGTGGATGCGCAAGACCCGCATGGCTGCTGAAAAGGATTGTGATCTCTATGTGGTGATGAAAGGTGACGGCGGCTTGGGCAATTCACAGCAAGGGGAAGTACGCTTTTTGGAAAAGGAGTTGGGCAAGCCCTTCGAGAAGCTGAGCCTCCTGAAATTTGCAAACATGGCCGCGCGTGACGCATATGAGCGAGGTCAGCTTAATGTCTTGCGGGAGAAGCCAGGTGGGGGCAGCGGGGCTGGAAAAACCTGAATTGCGGACAAATGCATGGGCTGCTGATAGTTTAGCATATATATATATATATTGGCTTCAGTAGCGAAGGCCGTATCATGTAGATACAATCCGGTTTCACAGTTTCACATTTGACTCTGCTGGCCAAGCGACCCCGCAGTTTGATAAAGTTCTAGCCGCTGCTTGCGCACTGGCTCTGTAGTTTGGATCATAAATTGTCGTCATCAAATTGTCGCCAAAGCTTTGCAGGATCCAGGGTTTAGGATTTGGGTTTCTTTTGGGGGTTGGAGCTACTGCGGAGCTGTGTGTCGGATGCCAGATCTGGGCTCCCCGGTCCTTTCCAGGGCGCTTTTTTCTGATCTTTGTCGTCAGCAGTGCTCCCTTGCTTACATCATGGATCGGAGTTTGTTGCTAATTCTATTGTTTCTTTTTGGCATGACGCTTGTCGCCGGCAATGGCCTGCAGCGCACGTCCCGAAGCCGTAGCCGTGGCCCCTGAACTCTACCCAAAGGCTCCTATGTAGTACCTTTTTGGGGTAGTATACTAGAATCCCCTATACCTAACCCAAAAAGGAACTACATTGGAGCCTTTGGGTAGAGTCTAGGGCCCAAGACCTCAAAGCCACAAGCCCCAAAGCCATGAAGCCCAAGCTGCAGCACCCTTCAACTGAAGCGATCCAAAAATTGTGGGGGAAAAGCCCCTACACAATGAGTCGCGCTTGCAGTCCCTGTGTTTTGAGTAGACAATCGTGGGTGTCGGGGCCCCTTAAGTTGGCCAAAGACTGATGATGTGCATGAATAGAGCCCAGTTGCAAAAAAAATGAGCGCAAAGCATATATGGTCGTTCCTCTTGAAGTGCTGACGACGGAAGAAATCTGTGCCGGAGCCAAGACCTGAAAAGATACCGCGCTTCTCTCCGGATCCAGAACCCAGGGCTGGCCCGAAAGATCTTCAAACTGCTGAACCCCATTAGGTTTAGGGTTTAGGGTTTAGGGTTTAGGGTTTAGGGTTTAGGGTTTAGGGTTTAGGGTCATTTTCCTTGAGCTTGCTTGAGGCCTTACAATATCCGCTCTTCCGTGTCCCTGCAACCTCTCTCTTCAGTCCTGCATGGAGCATTTTGAAGTCCTCTTGACTTGGCAAAGCCTGGGGCCCGTACTTCGACCGCTTAATTTCACCATTTTTTCCGCTTCTCCTGAAAGGCTCAGCCGCTCAAAGCCTCCAGGGCTGAGGGTTCAGGGTTTAGGGTTTTAGGGGTGTTTAGGCCTCCGAAAATGAGGATCGGATTAAGCCTAAGTCCGAATTGACTGGCCATCATGGTACCCCTAAACCCTAAACCCTAAACCCTAAACCCTAAACCCTAAACCCTAAGATGTTAGGAGTCGGGTTCCCTTCCATGAAGCAGAAAGGGGTCTCGTGTTTTCGGTCTTAGGTTTGCCTGAAGCTCTAAATACCCTAAGCCCTGAACCACCTCTGAAACCTGCACCCCAAGAAAGGGTAGGGTTTAGGGTTTGGGGTTTGGGGTTTGGGGTTTGGGGTTTGGGGTTTGGGGTTTAGGGTTTAGGGTTTAGGGTTTAGGGCTACTACAAGAAACGAAGCCCCTTGGATCCCTTCTGAGCTTCTGGGGAGCCCCGAGCCTGTCGCGTAGGCCGCCGTTCTGAAGATGTCGACGTGCTTCGTGGGGCCCTTTACCCTTGGGGATCTCGCGGCGAGCATCTGCTCAAGGCCCCTGAAGGGGTTAATTGGTGGGCTTAGGGTTTAGGGTTTAGGGTCTATAGGGCTACAGGAAGAAGGGACCTTTGGGGTTTAGGGCTCAGAGCTACTGCGGGACTCTTCTGCGTTGAGGTTTCGGCTTAGGCTTGTTTTTGTGGTGGAGGTTCAGCCTGTCGCGCCGAGCAAAGGGCGTCACGCTTGCAACTGATGTCGCGTTGGGAGCTCTGGTGCCTGTTCTGTGAAGCTTCCTTGGTAGGTTTGGGGGCATCCTACACACAAATCCACAAATCCTGCTAGACAAATCCCTAAACCCTAAGCCCTTTAGCCTAAACCCTAAGCCCTACACCCAGCACCCCTGAAAGCCACAAGCTTTGCATCCTGGACACACTCAACCCTCCAAACCCCCCCCCCCCCCACCAAAAAACCAAAAATGCCGCCAAGCTCCAAACCTGAGACCCCCCCCCCCCCCCTAAATCCCGCAAATTAAAAACACCTGAGCCCCAAACCTCCAATTAGGATCTAGGGTTTAGGGCCGCCCCCCCCCCCCCCCCCAAATCCTACAACCCTAAACCCTAAACCCTAAACCCTGAGACAGGTGGGCAGACTCGACGCATTTCGACTTCCTGCGCTTGTTCCAGGCTTCGGTGGCTTCAGGGTTTAGGGGTTTAGGAGTTTACGGGTTTAAGGATTTAGGGTTTAAGGGTTCGGGTTCAGGGTTTAGGGTTTAGGGCTAGGGTTTAGGGTTTGTGGCTTCGGGGTTTTGGGGTTTTGGGGTTTGGGGGTTTAGGGGCCTAGGGGTGTAGGCTCTGATTGCTTAGAGCTTTGGGATTCGAGGGCTGAGGTGTTGAAAGGTTTGGGGCTTCAGGGGCTTGAGGAATAGGGTGTTAGTAGGCTTCTGTTCAACGAATAAGGCTTTAAGGGTTGGGGGGTCTTGGGGTTTATTTAGTGCTTGAGGGCGCGCGTTGAGGGCTTGTGAGGGTGTGATGCCAGCAGCTCGCAAATGCGGCTTGACTCAATGGGTTTGCTGTTTAAAGTGTAGGATTTAGGGTTTAGGGATTTAGGTTTTGGGGTTTTGGGTTTAGGGTTTAATTAGTCCTGAGATGTTTGGAACTTTGGTCCTGAAATTGAAAAAACCTAAACCCTAACTCAGGGTGCTTTTTGCTCCCTTTGATGGCACATGTTCCTGGGTTCAGGGAGCTGACTTTCCTGTGCTCTGTTTTTCCTCATGTTTGTGTTTTCCCAGATCTCCTCTCTCTGTCACTCTGTCCCCGTTTCCCTGAATTGGGGCTTGAATGTTGGGGGTTCCTCCGCTTGAGGCTTGCGTCCCTAAACCCTAAACCCGAACCCTAAATCCTAAACCCTGAACCCCAATCCCCCAAACCCAAACCCCAAACCCCAAACCCCAAACCCCAAACCCCAAACCCCAAACCCCAAACCCCAAACCCCAAACCCTAAACCCTAAACCCTAAACCTAAACCTAAACCCTAAACCCGAAACCCTCAACCCTAAACCTTTAGCTGGGGCTTCGGGATTAGGTGATGGTAACACTTGAAAATGTGACAACCCAGGCACTGGCGCCCCCGTGCCACGATCATCCCGTCGGGTGATCAGACCGTAGTCTCGACTTCATGCGGTAATTTAGGGAGCTCAGTGCAGCACGAACAGTGTGCCCAAGAAGACGGAGCTGCCGGCCGCCCGACTTGGGCGCATACGATACAGTGGACTGGGCCGACTGGAGCCACTACCATGTGCCAAACAGCGCAGCGCTCACTGGCAACCTTGAAAGCGGGCACTGCACCGTCGCCATCCACGTGCTCCAGTGCATGGAGGCTCGAAACCAAAAACCCAAGACTGCCGGTGGAGTCGCTTCCAGCTGCTGCAGCGTGGAGGATGTAGGCGCGTCGCGATCGCCTGTCCCAAGGCTCGCCTCATAGAGCACACTACGTGGTAGAAGTACTGTACTGTGTACTACTAACATACTGTCTAGAACACTAGATATAGTATACTCGATATAGCTTATATATATATATGTATATATAGATATATAGATATATAGAGCATACTGGACATAGTATACTATAAACAGTATACTATATCGAGTATATGATACTAATGTCTACAAATACATATACATATATACAGATATATATATATATATATACATATATATATATATATGTGCATATATGTATATAATGCCCAGCGAAGCAGTGCGCCCAGGCTATCCGAAAGCTTCAGGATCAGAAAATGATCGAAGCGGTGGACGTGCCGGAGGAGACCGAAACCAGGCAAGAGCATCCCCTACACCCGAAACACGTTTTTGGGGGTTTAGGTTTCAGGGTTTTGGGGTTTTGGGGTTTAGGGTTTTAGGGTTTAGGGTTTAGGGTTTTTGGGGACTCTTTGGGCTTGGAAGACGGTTGCAGGGTTGAGAGTTCAACCTTTTCCAAGGCCAAAGCCCAAAAACACCTGCAGGCTCGGTGGGGTGTCCTAGGCCCTAAACTCGCAGGCTAACTAGCAGGTCTCTGCATAGGTTCATGGCTAGTAAAGTGTAGGGTTGTAGTCATGGTAACTATACTTATCACCCTATTTAGGAGCTTATAACCCTACTTTAACTGCCCATGAACCTCCAAGTAGGGCTTACATGGGCCCCTGTGCCGATGCGCGTCTCTGCTCCGCAGACAGAGATCGAGAACAGGGCCAACACGCCAAGATTTCCACACCTGAGCCGTGTGCCACGATTACGAACCACAGAAACCCAGAAAGCCCCTGCCAGCTTGCAAGTCCACATAGACACACCCACATGTAAGGCACGCGCACTCAAGCAAGACAGCTGTGACACGACGCTACACCTAGATCCTCTTAAAGCAACGAGGCAATGTTGCAGCCATTGTGAGCTCCTACTAGCGCCCATTCTGTCATGCCAAAGCAAGATCTACCTTTGGGGTTACGTGCTATCGGCATCCTTGACTCTCCACACTGAAAGGCCCCGAAGGCCAGGAGCCTTGTCAACCCTAGACCCCCATGCTCGTAGAAACCCGTAAGCCCTAAACGCCCCAAAAATTAAACCTCTAAACACAAACCCCACACCCTAAGCCCCCAAACACTCAATCTGAACCCCAAAACCCTAAACCCTAAACCCTAAACCCTAAACCCTAAACTCTCCACCCCGCCTTTCGGGCTGACGCTCTGGGACGCCGGCCCCTGCTACCACGCGGGCGCTTCGCGGCGGCGAGGCGCAGGAGCCTTAGCAGCAAAACCTGGTAGAAGCCTCACATATACGGGTTTAGGGTTTAGGGTTTAGGGTTTAGGGTTTAGGGGAACCCCATATAGCAGAACACGGAGGTTTTAAAATAGCCACGTCATTATGTAGCAAAATATTCAGACAGCAGTATAATGGCAGAATCGTACGAGAACATGATAGTATAAGAATAGTCTACAAGAATAGAAATACAAACCTTATGTTTTAATGTAATTCTATAATGACATCAACATGTAGAATACTATAATTCTATAATACCATACTACGAGAATACTATAATACTATAACACGATAAACCTGATTCTAAAATGCTACCATACCAGAATACCATGGCGCTACGGTGCTGTAAAACCATATTCCTGTAAGACTGCAATACTAGAATAACATATAGGCATATCATGCTATAACAATATAGTAATCTCATAGTATAGAAACTCCATACCAAAGTTCTAAAGAGTTTAGGGCTTAGGTTGGATTCGCAGGTTTTCGTGCTGAGGGCTTGGTAAAGTCCGGGAGTACCATTTTCTGAGAACCCGGAAGTACGACGAGCATGCCTCGAAGCCTAGGGTTTAGGGTTTAGGGTTTAGGGTTTCGGGTTTCGGGTTTCGGGCTTGAGAGGTTTGAGGGCTTAAAAGGGCAGATTCAAATGTAGGGTTGAATCTAGCAGCCCAAAGCCCTAAACCGGGCGGCAACCTCAGAAAGACCCACCTCCAACGTGGCGGCTGTTGAGAACCCACTGGCTACAGCAGATCCTTACCCTATACAAATAATTCCTCAAACAACTACACCTGCCCTACAAACCTTCAGAAAACCCCATATAACCTCTATATTCCCTTCATAAAAGTCCCAAAAAGACCACGAAGCCGACGAAGCCCCTACAAACCACTATAAAACCCCTACCAACCCTCAAACCTCGATCCCCCACAACCCTAAACCCTAAACCCTAAACCGTGGAGCCCTAAACCCTAAACCCTAAACCCTAAAACCCTAAACCCTAAACCCTAAACCCTAAACCCTAAACCCTAAACCCTAAACCCTAATCCCTAAACCCTAAACCCTAATGAAACCCTAAGCCCTAAACCCTACAAGCCGTGAAGGCACAGGGATGAACTTCGTGCGCGCCGAGACCTTGGTGCAGGAGATCACCGCCTGGGGCCCCAGCTGTTTTTTGTTTAGGGTTCAGGGTTTAGGGTTTAGGGTTCAGGGTTCAGGGTTTAGGGTTTAGGGTTTAGGGTTTAGGGTTTAGGGTGTAGGGTGTAGGGTTTAGGGTTTAGGGTTCAGGGTTTAGGGTTTAGGGTTTATGCAAGCGGTCCCAAGGACAATCCAGAAGCGAAATCACTTGTGGATTGCTACAACGGAGGAATAATTAGACCTCATAAGCTTAATGTGGTTTAGGGTTTAGGGGTTTAGGGTATAGGACCTACTTCCCCAAATCCCTATGATAAAACTAGTAAGATAGAAACCCCATGCGGGGAGCCGAGTAAATGACACCTGAGGATCACGTTGGGTTCCTCAGCTCTACCACTACGTGGCCCTAGACCCCCAACCAGTTCTTGGCTACGCACAAGGGGCCCTGCAAATCGAGCTGGGTCCCAAGAAAGGGAACGCACTGGTTTAGGGTTTAGGGTTTAGGGTTTAGGGTTTAGGGTTTAGGGTTTAGGGTTTACCCCAAAAACAAGTAACAAGGCCCAAATATGGCTCTGGGCTATTTGATTTGGTCTCCTTGGGTCGTGGGGGGTAGTCAGATCCCCAGCCCTAAACCCTAAACCCTAAACCCTAAGCCCTAAACCCTAAACCCTAAACCCTAAACCCTAAGCCCTCCTGCTTTCCCAGGGCGATGGCAAGGTTCGGGACATCGTCACGCAGGTGAAGAAGTCAGAGGCGCGAACCGCGCGAGCACTTCTTTAAGGGGTTGAGCTTTTGTTAAAAAAAAAATCGTTCGAGGTGTTGGGATAGGAGGGCCTTGTTTGCTTTCCTGAGGGTTTGAGTATTTGGGTTGAGGGTTTAGGGTCAGGTTTGGGGGTTTTTGGGTTTGGGGTTTAGGGAGGGTTTGGGGTTTAGGGTCTAGGGTCTAGGGTTTAGGGCTCAGGGCTTTTGGGCTCATAGGCCTTTGTATTGGGCCGCGCTGGCTTTAGAATCTGCTTAATTAGAGGGTTTGTTCCTCGGCGGGTTGGGAGATATTCGCACTCCGGCACATATTTTGAGGCCTATACTTTAAAACAGGGAAAAGCTGAGAATTCTTTCACGTGGGCCTAGAAACTAACGGTCTAAGGGCTTCGGGCCTATCATGTCGGAGGTGGGCTTTAGGGTTTAGTGTTAAGGATTTAGGCTTAGAGCCTAAGCCCTAAGCCCTAAGCCCTAAGCCCTAAACCCTAAACCCTAAACCCTAAACCTGAAGCTTGGGATGTAGTAGTAGGGCTTCCTGGTGGGATGGTGAGGCGGAGAAGGAAGCCGAGCGAAAGGAGAACGTGCTGCGCAATTTGCCAGAGACCCAGCGTGTCCTCCCCACCCCTCACCCACCCCACTCGGTACTCGGTACTCGGGTTTAGGGTTTGGGGTTTAGGGTTTAGGGTTTAGGGCTTAGACCTTAGGGTTTAGGGTTTAGGGTTAGGGTTTAGCGAAGAAATTTGTGATACCATAAGTTGCCAAACCAAGACCCTATGCTCCTGAAGAATCAAGCCCCCAGACCCCCCAAAAACTTGCCCCAAAAACTCCAAAAAAAGCCTATTTTGTCGAAGTCCGAAGGCCGTAAGCCTTCAACAACCTTCCTCGCCCAAAACCACACAAATTTCAATACTAGCATTACTCCTTCAACTTTCCGCTTGCATGGCCAAAACATCAGAAGAGCGAAAGCATATCAACAGCTCGACACACTACGGCCTACAGACATAGTTGCGTAGGCAGCATACTACAAACGATACAGCAAACAACACAAAACCAGCTCCTAAAATCTAAAAAAAAACGCTATAAACCCTGTAAACTCTGTAAACCTCGTTGTTTTTGGAAACTTATGGGCTTGCTGTGTTTCGTAGGGTTTCTCGTCTAGGGTTGACAGGGCCCAGGGTTTTTAGTGAATTTGGAGTCTATATCGTCCATAGGATTTAAAGGTAGTTATGCTTTGCCGAGGGGCTGTCGTATACCGACCCAGACGCACCTGCAACGAAGATTCCTGTCATCGATCAGCGGAGCGCACAGCCCTCCAAGACCACGGCAGGCTAGGGATCGGGGTTTAGGGTTTAGGGTTTAGGGCTTAGGGTTTAGGGTTTAGGGTTAGGGTTTAGGGGTGTAGGGGTTAGGGTTTAGGGTTTAGGGTTTAGGGTTTAGGGTTTAGGGTTTAGGGTTTAGGGTTTAGGGTTTAGGGTTTAGGGCTACTTCAGGGTTTTAGGGGACCTAAGACCCCCCGACTCGGACGCAAAATGAGGCCAGAGTTCAAGCGCGAGGGCCTGTCGCCTGCGGAGCAGATCGCCGCCAACACGGCGGAGGAGAAGGACGACAAGGACTCCAATACTGTAGCCCTTTCATGACGCAGCTTGGGGTTTATAGGGTTTAGGGTTTAGGATTTAGGGTTTAGGGTTTAGGCTTAGGGTTTAGGGTTTCCAAGGGTTCAGGGTCTAGGGTTTAGGGCAAATTTTATAGGGTTCCTGGAGGAGAAGGACGACAAGGCAGTCAGGGCTTCGGGTTTTGTTGAATTTGAATGGGTTTTTATAGGCTTTACAGGCTTGACAGGGTTTGGGGTTCTTGGTTTTGGCTTTTGGGTTTAGGGTTTGGGGTTTAGGGTTTAGGGATCCTTTTCTACGCCCGTGTATGTCTTAAGTTACGCGCTTTCGTAGTAGGATTGCATTATAATATGGGACCCCTAATTTCGGAAACCCCCATGTACGGGGGGGGGGGGGGGGGGTTCTGGGTTTTAAGAGCTTTACCAACCCTAACCCTGAAACCCCTAAACCCTGAGCCCTAGAACCAAAACCCTGATAACCCTAGACCCTGTATAGCCCTAAGCCTTAACCCTGAACCATGTATCGCCCTCACCCCTAAAACCTGTCAGCCCGAGACCGTATACCGCACCCTAAACCCTAAACCGTGTAAGCCCTTAACGCCCTCAACCAGCCAA